GGCTGAAATGTTCTGTATATATTTGTTAAAGCCATTTGGTTCATAAAACTTATTAGTTTCACTGTATCTATATTTAGTTTCTATTTCAAGTACTTCTCCATTGGTGAGAGTGTGGTGATGAAGTCTCCCACTATTATTGTGTGGGGTTCAATGTGGTTTTTGGGATTTAATAGTTTCTGTTAGGAATGTGGATGTCCTTGAATTTGGGGCATAGATGTTCAGAATCGATACTTTCTCATATTGGTTGAAAATATATTTTATTGTATATTAGGATTTCAACTCCTACTTGTTTCTTGAGACCATTTGCTTGGAAGATTTTTTTTCCAGACTTTAACTCTGAGGTAGTATTTGTCTTTGTCACTGAGATGTGTTTGTGTGTACAGCAAAATGCTGGATCCTCCTTGCATATACAGTCTGTTATCCTATGTGTGTTTATTGGAGAATTGAGTTCATTGATATTGAGAGGTATTAAAGACAGATGATTCTTAGTTCCTGTTATGTTTATTGTTATAGGTAGCATTACCTGTATGTGATTCTCTCCTTGTTACTTGGCATTTTTCTCTTACAGCTTTTAATATTTTTTCTTTGTTCTGTGCATTTGGTGTTTTGAGTATTATGTGACAAGAAGATTGTTTTTTCTCATTCTATATTTTCTTTTAGTGTTCTATAGGCTTCTTATAGATTTATAGCCATCACTTTCTTTAGGTTGGGGATATTTTCTTCAGTGATTTTATTGAAGATGTTTTTGGGTCCTTTGAGCTGTGAAATTTTGCTCTCTTTCATTTCTATTGTTCTTAGGTTTGGTCTTTTCAGTGCATCCTGGATTTTCTGGATGCTTTCAGTTAGATGTTTTCCTGTTTTGAATCTTCTTTGACAGTTTTGTCAACATCTTCTAAGGTACCTTATACACCTGAGATTCTCTCTTCTACCTCTTGTATTTCGTTGTTGATGCTTGCATCTTTAGTTCCTGACCTTTTTCCTAAGTTTTCCATTTCCAGGGTTGCCTCTGTTTGTGCTTTCTTTATTGTTACTACTTATACTTTTAGGTCTTATACCACTTTGTTCAATTTTTTCCCCTGTTTGCTGGGTTTTTTTTTTCTGTCTGTATTTCTTTGAGAGGTTGATTTTTTTTTTTTTTTGTCTTTAAGGGCTTTTACCTGTTTACTTGTGTTTTCCTATGTTTCTTTCAGTGACTTATTTATATCCTCCTTAAAGGATGTTATTATCTTCATGAGATAGGATTTAAGGTCAGCATCCTGGTTTTCTGGTGTGTTGCTGTATCCAGGGCTTGCTGTAATGGGAGACCTGGGTTCTGATGATGCCAAAATATATTGGTTTCTGTTGTTTATGGTCTTGTTCTTTCTTCTCACCATCTGGTTATCTCTGGTGTTAGCTTGTCTGGTAGTCTCTGTCTGGAGCCTGCCTCCTGTGTCCCTGGGTTGCTGCAGGTCTTCTGGTAGGCCTGTGGCCTTGGCTTTAACAGGCTTTCTGGAGGACCTTCAGACTGTGGGGTCTTCAGAAGAACAGACAAGGTGATGGTCTGCCCAGTTGGAAGTCACAACCCAGAAAGTGGGTAGGGATTGTGTAGGGGTTGAAAGTTGGGGTGAAGGTGGGTTCTGAATCCACTGGGCTCATCAAGGTTTGTGGCTGCTGTGATTAATTGCAAGGGTCCCTTACCTGTGGCCTTACTGTAGCAGACCTCCTGGGGGCCATCAGTCTGTTGAGTCTTCAGAGAGCCGACATGCTGATGGTCTGCCCAGGTGGTGGGCTAGGGGGAATATTACTAGGTAAGGTGATTTCTTTTAACAGCAGTTAATAATTGCCTGTACTTCCTTTTTTTATAAATCTTTTTTATTGATTCTTTATGAATTTAACCTCATGCATCCCAATCCAATTCACAGTTATGTCTGTTTGCATCAGTTAAAAGAAGAAAAGAAAGCTTTCGATGGAAGCTCTAGTGTGTTATGGTGTTTCATACAATATTCACTTTTGCCCAAACAGCTTCACTTTCAAATGTTCATTGCAATGAGTCTTTGGTCTGGTTTGAGAAAGGTAGTTTCTGAAACATTATCAATGCTAGATTTTCACCTAGACTCCTCTCAAATATTCTGTTACTACCCTATGTCATGGAGATCCTATATATTTGGATCTACAGCAATAGCTCCTTCATATTCTACAGCAGTTTGTAGATTGGGTAGATGTTGGCGTAGACTAACTCAAAGCTCATGATCTGGGCCTGGAAGGTAGCTGTCTTGGTCCTTCAACCATCTCTCCTGTACCCACACTACCAGCACCAGCTCTACTATATTGCCCTGCTGAAGCACAAGCTTATTCTCCCAACTGGTGCAGCCAGTTTAGGGCAAGGCTAGCTCTCGTGGACTCACATCTTCAGGTGCTGACCTCAGCTACCACTACCAGGGTCAGGTTTCCTATGCTGACCATGAGGTGCAGGCCTGCTGTCCTGAAGCCAATGAAGGGTAGGAACAGCTTCTCTGCACTCATGTCCTTGTGGCCAACTCACCCACCTGCTACAGGTGTGATAAGAGGTTATAGCTCTCCTGCATCAACCCTTGCTGGGCAGATAGGAACTGCTGGCTCACCAGCATCCTTGCCACTAGGACCAGCTTTACTGTTCTGTGCAAGTGGCATACAGGCTTGCTCTATGAAATAGTGTAGCTTTAGCTGGTGTGGGATGGGGCCAGTTCTTTGGCACTCACAACACATGAGTCAGCTTTCCTATGCTGCCCTGGCAAGGGGTGGAACCATGTCTCCCACTAAAGGCAAGGGAGCCTATTGTTCTTGATCTAGAGGTGGGACCCTTGAAATTCCTTTCTTTCTTGTTAGCACATCTAATGATATTGTCATTGTTCAGGTGTTTCCATAAGCAGCTATGCTGTTGAAATATCATGAATATCTCTTTTCTAATAACCTCTCTGTCATTTTTAGGAAGTACAGTTATCACTCTTAAACACTTTTGTTCCACCTATACTGAGGCTGCCCGAGTCTTAGATATAGGAGTTGTGTTATAGGTGTGTTCATTACACATGAGCACAACAATAGTCATTGATCTCTGCATTATGGACTACTACAGTTTTCTATAATAACCTCTGTTTGCTATAGAGAGTATCCTGTTTGTAAGAGAAATTTCTTTGGTGACTGGTGAGAGCTCACTTATCTAAGTTACATGAATATGCTTTAGATTTTGAGTATGATATATTCTCACGTATTAAACTTGTGATATTGGTTCTTTTCTAAGAACCATAACCTTCCATATATCAGGGTGTGACATGCGTTTGATCCCAGTACTCCAGAGCCATAGGTAGGCCCCTCTCTGAGCTCAGCATGAGCCTGCTCTACAGAATAATTTCCAGGATAGCCAGGGGCACATAAAGAAAGTATGCCTGAAAACCCAAGAAGTAAAAAGTAAAGTGAAAACCATTGCCTGACAAGTCCCAGGAAGTTAGCTCTTCTCAGAAATCCATGGCCAATTCAACATATGTAAGTTTGTAAATGTAATCAGTCATATAAAATAAACTTAGAAAAATCACATGATTATCCTAATAGATGCATGAAAAGCCTTTGAGAAAACTGAACAAACTTTCATGAGAAAAGCTATATAGAAAGCCGAGAACTTTTGGGAACACACTTCAACTTAATAACGGGTATATATGCCAAACTCAAGCCAATATCCTAAATTGAGAAACATTTAAAGCTATTCCATTAAAACAAAGAATTACATTGGGCTGCCAACTATACTCACTGTTTTTAAACATAGTCCCTGAAGACCTAGCTAAAGCACTAAGACAAGAGTAAGAAATTAAAGAGTTATAGAAAGTGGGAAAAGAAGTCACACTATGCCTATTTATATGATATGATATTGTATCAGAAATTATATCAGAAAGCCTGTATTAATAAAATTTTCAAGTGTTACAGGAGACAAAATCAACTCCCAAAAATCAGTAGACTTTCTATATAACACCAACAAATTATGGGTATAATGGCATTTATATGAGATCCAAAGGCAATAAGCCATCTTGGAAAGAACCTAACCAAGAAGATGAAAGAGCTTTATGAAAAACATTTAAATCTGTGAGGACTTTAAGGAAAATATTTGAAAATAGAAAGACTGCCCATGTTCATGAATTGGTAGAATTAATATAGAGAAATGACCATCTTACCAAAAACAATGTTTAGATCCCATGTAATTTCAATCAAAAGTTGCACAACATTCTTTGCAGAAATGTAAAAACGGGGATCTTAAAATTAATATGTTACTAAAAAATCTTGATCGTTAAAGTAGTTATGACTACCATCACCAACAATAAAATAATGCAGGGATTTTCATTTCAGACTTCTAAGTACATTATAGAAATATAATAATAAAAACAGTATGACACTTGCACAAAGAAGACTTATAGACAAATGGTACAGAATAGAAGACCCAAACATGAACATGTGTAACTACAACCATGTGACCTGTTATATTTTATTGGTTAAAATGCGTGGTTAGGGCTGAGCAGTGGTGGCACATGCCTTTAATCCCAGCACTTGGGAGGCAGAAGCAGGTGGATTTCTGAGTTCTAGGCCAGCCTGGTCTACAGAGTGAGTTCCAGGACAGCCAGGGCTGTAAGAGAAACCCTGTCTTGAAAAAACAAACAAAAAAAAATGCATGGTTAGTATGATGCTTGACATATGGTAAAATACAGTTCAAAAATTCTCATGTATTTTTATTTGATAAGGTTTTTATTTCTTCATAAAGATTGGCTATGATTGGTCAGCTGATATATGGGACAATCAAGTGCTAGAGTGTTTAATGTGTTATTGCATATGTTTCTTTTACTGAACATTCTTGTACTAAACAAATTGTGGCAGAAAACTCCACAGAGAAGTCATAGTTATTTTATATGGGTAGGAGAATATACTGAGGTTGATAAGAGTGACCTTTGCTTTGAATATTTCATTTACTTACCTCTATGTGGTCCCTGTCCTTATCCTATTAGGTACCATTGGAGACTGGAAAAACCATTTGACTGTGGAGCAGAATGAAAGATTTGACATGATATTCAAGAGGAATATGACAAATTTTCCTTTGAAGTTTATCTGGGATATAAATGAACAATAAAAGTCTAATGTCAGCATAAAATAAATTAAGAAAAACCCATTCAGAAGAATACTTGCTTTAATATCAATATTAATATCTTCAATATTTTAATCATTAAATGCCAAGCTTTATTAAGGATCAAAATGAATAAACTATATAAATGTTAATTACATTGAGATTCAGAAATGATTTCAAATTTCAAAATTAAAATAGTTTGGGTTCTAGTTCGCAATTGTATTGTGTACTAATGTCATAAATTATGGTGCTTTCTGATATAGAAAAATGTCTACAAGGAGTAGTCTACAATGCACAGTTTTTTCTTCTCACATACAATACAGTTTTGAAAGAAAAAACATTAAACAACTTCTCATTATTACAATAAAACTTTGACTTTCACTGAGTCAAGAATGTGTGAGGAATGAGAGCCTTTAATTTGGAAAACTAAACCTGAGCATTGAAGGGAGGCAGAATAGCCATTTAGATTAAGAACTAGAAAAGAGGGAGGATGTACTCATTCCCTTAGTAAAGTATCAACTTTTGTTGGTGAATTGTGTTGTTTGATGAGTTTTGTATTTACACACAACGGATGTCATTACTAATTTTACCAAAATGTATGAATAATGCACTTAAGATTTAATTTTGTAGTTTGCCTCCATTTGCTGGACGCGAGCCAGGAGTCTCTGCGGCTGGTGGAGACAGCAGGCAGAAGGAAGCAGTGGTGGAGAGAAGCCCTAAGCTGCCTTGGTGATAGTGAAATGGTGGACACACAGCAGCTCATTACCAAGCGACAGAACCTGGATTAAGCCTATGGGCCGCCCAATAAATTCCTTGAGATCGATGTGAACAACCCACAGTATCACTAAGTAACAGAGTTCTTTGACTCAATATCAATAAATAAACAAAGAAAGAAAGGAAGGAAGGAAGAAAGAAAGAGGGGAAAAGAAATAAAGAAAGGATGGAAGGAAGGAGGGAAGGAAGGAAGAAAGAAAGGAAGAAGGAAAGAAAGAAAGAAAGAAAAAGAGAGAAGAAAGAAGGAGTTTAGGAAGCACAGGACATCACAAAAAAAATTAGGGGCAGAGGTTGTAGAAGTGGAAATAATAGAAATATATTATAAGAGACTGTTGAGTGAGATTTTAAGTTTCTAGTGGCTTTCAAAGTTCCTAGCAGAATTTGTTATCAAGAATCAGAGTTGTTGGTTTATAATGATAAATGGGGATTGAGCAATGGATTTTCAGGTGCAATGAAGTTATAAGGCATAGATTCCCAGGGGAACTTGACTGCAATTATCCAAGACTGCCACTGGGTAGGTGCTGGGATTCAGGGAAGGACCAAGCACTCCTCTGGGGAGTGGGAAAGAGCAGTCTAAGATATGAGAAAGCTGAAACTGGTATTCTCAAACTCACAGGCGTCTAGTTGGTGCATGAAAACCACAGAGACATGTCTGGAATAAACTATCTGGGGTCCATGGACCCACAAGGAGGCTGTGACCAGGGGTTCCCAAACTCCTGGTCATGCCTCTGAGTCATGAGGAGTTGAGAGTAGAGTCTATGACACAGGCTGGGGATGGTGTCTAATCTGGGGCTGGATGTAATGGTAGCTCTGGCTTTGCTCATTGGTGAAGTCCTTAGCTTGACAGCAGTTAAGGCTGGGAGTGCATATGAGCCTTCCACGGGTGATTTATGCAGTGGTTCTATAGCAAAGGCCTGCTTCATTCTCCCCACAGTGGTTCTCAATGAAAGAGACAGTCCTTGATTCTAAACTGTTATTGATTGTTCATCATAGAAAAAGGATGCTTACCTTACAAACTTCTCAGTGTTGACCTGAGATTAAATACCTACTGGAGGGAGGAATGTCTGGGAAGGGAAGCTTATTGGCTAAACCTTCAGTGCCTCTAGGACCTCATTAGCATGGAGAACTCTGTTCTGGGCCTACATGACTACAGGTCACATTTCCTTTTATGGGAAAGATGGTTTATATTCCAGGCCAGGAATTTGAGAGGGAACAGGGAGGTGCCTACAGTTGCAAGTGTGAGTTTCTGGGGTCTCAACCCACTCTACCCTCCAAGCTTCCTGTCATGATTTACCATACCACATCCTTGGAAAAATGAGCACCCAGTAGCAACAATAGACAGATCTCAAAGGAACACAATATTTCTGTCCAAGAAAGCATAAAAATAAGAGAAAGCTAAGAAAACAGGAATGATCCTTACTTTGAGAAAGTAGTAAAAGTTCCAGGCTGTGGGATAGGATTCAAATGGGTATAGATCTTTTAGCCACCTTCAAACACTACAGTGGTAGACTCCAACAATCCAAATATGTACTTACTTTAGCTTTAATGAACAGATGTTGTGGTGCTCATTTATATATTGTCCTCATCAATTACTTCCTTTAATCAGAAGGTTTGAACTGTGCAGAGGGCAGTAACTGGGTTCAGACAGGTAAGTGGTCTCTAAGTAACTTTTAATTCTATTTAACACATTTAATCACACTTTTTCTCCAGAAATGAACAAACTTTTGATCACATAGCAAATGTAAAGGAGGAAAAAGAGTCTGAGGGAAAATCGTGTCAGGGACATATTCTGTCATCCCCTGAGCAACCATCCTCATGAACAGAAGTATTGAAACACCCTCCCAAGTGTCTCATCTTTCTCTGGCTTCTTTTTCTTGGCCAATTGAAGCAAAGAAATGAAATCAAATCTACTTTTTTGAAGGTCATGATGTTGGGATGGTGTGTCTTGAGTGATCCATAAAGAGTTTAGCAGCAGGGATAGGGATGATCCAAACAGAACACATACATTTAAGGAGTTCTTCAATTATTGAGAAAACTGTAAAGTGAGAAGGAAGAGCTCTGTCTTCATGATTGAATTTTACACATCAAATCAGGGAAACAAATTTGTGCCAATGGTTTAACTCACGTAGTAAATGAAGGAAGACCAGGACAAATTGTAAAAATAATATAATTTTAAATTTGTTGATTAAATTGCATATGTGAATTCTACTACCCATAATTATAAGGTAATTACTTAGTACCAATCTTAAAACAGCTGACCAGTTTTTCTTTTGAATTCTGTAATTACACGTAACTATGGGAGTGATCGTAGGGCCTACAGTTGTCAAAAGAGGTTATGATGCTCCATGGAGCTGGGGTTACAGGTGAGTTGCTTCAAGTGGACGCTAAAAACAGAACTAAGATCCTATGGAAGAGAGAACAAGAGCTCTTGAACACTGAATCTTCTTTAAAGCCTTCAGCTTTATTGTTTTTAGAAATGAATTACTCATTATCTTCCCCTTACAGGCCAGGAAACTAAGAATCAGAAACTCAGTAAGTTCACACTCCCATGGCAGTTGTTACAAAACTAGAGGATGTTAGTCCAATTCTCCACCATTTGAAACAATCATAAATTTTCTTTTTAAAATGTCTGCATAGCCAGGCAGTATTGGCATAGACCTTTAATTCCAGAACTAGGGAAGCAGACAAAGGTTGATATCTGTGAGTTAAAGGCCAGACTGGTCTATAGACCAAGTTCTAGAACATCCCAAAATACCTCCCAAAACAGAACAAAACCAAAAAAAAAAAAAAACCTTTGCATTTGTACAGTATGTATACATACGTTCATGTTAACCAGGCATATACATGCCACAGCACATGTGTGGGAGTAAGCTAGGTGAACTCCGATCTCTCTATAAGAACTCTCTATGAGAGAATGGTTACATCCATGTCTGGCTTTACCAGAGTCCTAGGGATAAAAGTCAGGCTTCATGATTATGAGACAAGGTCTTTTACTCACTGTAGTATCTCCCAATGTGATGGTCATAATAGTAAAACTCTGGACTGAACTGAATTTTTTCTCTTCATGGGAAAAGGACAAAACAGTAACACTACCACAAAGCACAAATGGCATGTAACAGCTGTCCACTGTTACCAGTTATGGAACTATTAAGTGACTGTTCCCAGTAATCAAATGGAACACAAATCTGTGTGTTTTAAACTGCATATCTACAATGTCTATGCAATTAACTGAGGTTGGATCAACGATAAGAATTGGGTGGCAATTCAGTCATTCTCACTAGAGAATGCAAAATTAGTTCTTGATATAAAATGAAAATCAGCATAGGTCATTTTTCTTTGATGATATAAATTAAAAAGTCCTTTGATGAATGTGTCCTAACAATTAAAACAATCTCTTTAGCCATCCTTTGATACCAGTAAACTGACAAACAGGTCACATGAACTTTTACCTTAACAGCAGCAGCATGACAACTTACTATCTTCTTAGCAGCATGTGTGTCTGGTACGCAGACAGTGGTTATGCCACCTACCTGTGGGCAAACTGCATGACAAGCTAATGTCACTTGCCTGTGTACACACTACATGTTCCACAGCTTCTGAGAGCTTCACCTACTACTGATAGTTCCTTCAATGTTAGGAGGTGATCGCCTTGACACATACTCCTGCCTTGTCTTTCAACCTGACACAAAACACTTCAAGTGATGTCAGATAGCTCACTTCCCTACATTTGAAGCCTATGGTACCAACAATGGGCAAAGGGCACATGTTAACAACTCACAGGCGTCTTCTGGAATCTAAGAGCTCATCTTTGGCTGCTTACACATATTCTAGACACACAGTTTGTGAAGAGTAATGAACTCTTTTCCTCTTTTCAATGAGATAACACTGACCCTTCCTTTTAGTCTGATCTCAACTGAACAATATTCAATTAACCCTTTACATGCTGCCTCAGTTAGCACTTTCTCCAGTTGCACCTAAGTATCTTTGCTGGCAAAGAGCGTGAAGGGATGGGAGGATGAGGTTTATTCAAGAATGTGGGTATAAAGAGAAGACTGGTTTGAACACTCCTGAGAATTCTCATTCTTCCCATAATTTACATATTCCCTCCACAGTGCTCCTGTGCCAAGGCATCCAGCATGATGATGTGTTTCCCTTTTTATCCTACTAATATTCTCATATGTCTTGGAACAAATAGAAACAAAAACCAAGTAAGTTTCCCCACACCTACCAGTCAGCCTGGTACACAACTGGAATCATGGGCTCTCACCCAGAATGTGAATTCAACAGGGATTCATATTTTTGTGAAAAATCTTGAAGATTCAATAGAAGTAGCCAGGTTGCCTTTTTTCATTGCTTTCCCTACATTCTAGAAAGACCAAGGTGGAAACCCACTTCATTACCAAAACATCTAAAAATCTTATAATCACATGAAGAAAGAGGGACTCCTTGGCACTTAGGTCAAAGACTGACCTTGGCACACTGTCCTAGATGCTTAGTTCCCCCAACTGAACAGCTTCTTCCAGGTTCTTACACATCTACTGATCAGCCTCTCAACATCTCTTGTATGGAAAAGAAAAGCTCACATACACAAGCTTTTGGCTCTCTGCATAGAAGTGCAGAAAGTTATTGCTATCACTTGGCATCAAGACCAACTTAAAAAAAATCTTCAAAAATTATTAAATTCAATAATGATAATTTTATGTTTTTCATTTTGTTTATTTTTTTGTTTGTTTGTTTTTAAACAGAATTTCTCCGTGTAGCCCTGGCTGCCCTGGAACTCACTCTATAGACACATTAGCTTCAAACTCAGAGATCCTCCGGCCTCCGCCTCCCAAATGGTGGAATTAAAGTACAATAACACCAAATCCCAGCATACTAATTATATTTTAAACAGTTTGATTTTAGTCATAAGTCTCATTCCAAAAATAGTTTGAGGTTAAGACTGTTTGTGGGTATGTGACAGGCATTTTTGATGGAAGGTAGGTACTTGAAATATTACAAGTGATTTCCACCAGGGTCAAGTCAACCTTTTAAAACTGTAGTGAATGGGTAGCTTGCAGGAAGCCTAGCTCACCTACCTGATCCACCAACCAACCATCTCAACTTAGTATGAAGAGGGCATCCCATATGTATGTGTCTAGATTTATTTTTCTTGCAATAATGAACAGTCCCTAGAGAGTCTTTGGACTGGCTAACTGGCAGGAAAAATACTAACCCAGGTAAGACAAACCAATAGGCCACTGACTCAGTCAGAAATGTATGTTAGAACACCTCTAGATCTGCTGCAATGAGACAGAATTATTTTAAAATCAGTTTGAGATACACTTTTTCTGGCTCTATCCTACAAAAGGCCCAGGAACACATACCTCAAACCCCTCAAATTCTGTTTCAAATACTACCACCACTGTGATAAAGTCTATTTTATTCCTCTCTACATAATATTTGGGCTTCTAATTTTGTTATAACTCAAAATTATTGAGCCAGGCACTAGGAGTCCAGGTGGGTTACTGTTCTATTGACTCATTCCTCTTGTAAGGCACTTGAAATCCAAAGTAACCACTGACTCCAGCATAGAAGTGAGTCAAGACAATTCCTCATTTGTAAAGCCATGCATCTACAGCAGCAGCCTACATCAGTGATACAGGCGGGAACTCTCTCCAACACTAAATGATCAAACATCTAAACTGTTCATCAATAAGCAGAAATAAGCATTTTATATTTGCAATTTTATGGGCAGTTTATTGAGTTCAATGATGAAAGCTATCAGAAGAATATTCTCCTGAAAAATGTTTTTTCTTAGAAAAAAACGAAAGGAAGATCCAAACCCTCTCAGTATAGTCACAGATGCTGTGGTGGTCACATCTCTCTGGAGACAGGGACAGTCTATCTGTCTGAGGAGTCACTCCCTCGAGCAACGGGATTGTAGTCAGGATCATCCTCACCATCTTCTAGCTCCAAATTATCCATTTCTTGAAACAATGACTCATCCACCTCCACGTTATTCCCAGCTGTGAAGAGTAAAACAGCTTTACCTTATAATCCAGAAAAAAACACAACTGGTGTGTGTGTGTGTGTGTGTGTGTGTGTGTTTGGGGAAAAGAGAGGGGCAGGGATAGTGATGACTCCCAGGCTACCAGTGCAAATCCTTCTGAAGTTGATCAGCAGAGACTCTGACAATATAGGAGCAACTCCAATCTTCACAGTCATAGCCTAAAGTCTGGCTATTTTAAAACAGGCTCAAAGAATACTAAATGACAATGTAGCAAGGTATAGTTAAAAATGAGGTCTCACTGGTGGACCATCACTGAGACTAGCCCCACAGCCCAAGCTGAGCTGTAACTTCTTACTTAGTTGACTGTCAGATGGGACTTGCCTAGTTCCCTTTACATATAACAGATGGCAAAGGTTCTAAATGTCTAAGCCCTATGAGAAGCACTGGTCAAGCTCCGCCTCAGCAGACCCACCCTGCAAATGGCCTGAAGTAGATACAGCAGGATACCACAGCACTCCTTCAACTTTGCAAACATTATCTTCCTTCCCTCTTAAGAGGCTAATCTACTGACATTCAATCCAATGAGAATATAGAGAGCGTATATAAATTACAGTCTATATAAATAATATTATAGGGCTGAAGAGATGGCTCAGCCATTAAAGGCTAGGCTCACAGCCAGAAGTACAATGGCAATGCCCTGAGTTCAGGCCACAGAGTAACTGAGTCAAGGGCAGTGGAGGCTTCTCAAGCGTCTTCAGGGAACACCTGAATCCAACATAACATGAATGTCTGGACAAGCAATTCTAAAAGCATGTAAAACATACGTACAACACAATAAGATCTTGATATTTCCAATTAGAAGACAAGAGCCTTGAGGAAAATATCTGGAAGTAACACAGGTAAGGCCAGACTGAAATGGAACTACATACTTTTTCCCCTATCAAAGAATTCTAAAGTTTTATGGCTAAATTTGAGTTTCACATTCTCAGAAGCAGAGCAGTAACTATAGAATATTCAAGACTCCAAAACACACAGAGATTCATGGGTTGGAGAGATGGTCGGAGGATTGGCTGCTATTCCAGAGGACCTAGACTCAATTCCCAGCACCTGCATGGTGGCTCACAGATCTAAAACTCCAGTTTCAGGGATACAATACACTCTTTTGGCCTCCATGGCCACTTAGCACACATGAAGTGTACACGATAACATGCCTTCCAACTTTTTTATACATAAAATAAATAAATAAATCTTTAAAGAGAAAAAGATAAAGACATTGAGAGAAGGATTTAAGTGGCTACAATAAATCCAGGCAAAAACAATAAAACCTTCAAATGAGAGAAGGAAATTGCTGGGGTACATTTCCAAGGTAGACTCAGCAGGTCCCTGGGAAGTCTACTAGAAATGAAGAGATTCCTTTTCCCATGAGAAGAAAGGAGTCAGGGAAAATTGAAACCAAGCATGCTAAAGCATGCTTCTAACCATAGCACTCAGAGGCAGACGCAGGAGGATCTCTGAGTTCAAGGCCAGTGTAGTCATAGCAATTTTCCTGGCCAGCCACTACTATATACAGTGAGAGACTACTGAAACAAGGGAGGGAGGAAGGGAGTAAACTAATGAAGTTTCTAAAGCACAAGAGAATAAGATGAGTGAGGGAGCTGAAATTCCTTAGCCAAGCAGAAGAGAATATCCTAGTGAATTTCTGATTTGTTTGGTTTTGGGTTGTCTGAGACAGTCTCACTCTGTAAGTCACACTGGCCTATAACTCACAGTGTAGAACAGAACACCCTCAAACTTAGGCAATTTTGTTCAGTCTCCAAGTGCATAGATTACAGATGATAAGCCAACATGCCTAGCTTCTAGTTTTGTTTTTAAGATTATAAAAATAAAATATAGAACTATCAGCTTGAGAAGGTAATAATATATTTAAGGGAGAAAAACACATTGAGGGCTAACAGTGTAACTCAATGACAAAGCATTTGACGTGTATTGTATACCAAGGCCCTAGGTTCCATTCTTATCACAAGGAAGAAGAAGAGGGCGAGTGCCAGTCAAGGCCCCTGCAAGGTTAAGAAGAATGATTTAGAAGTAGGCCACATCAGCAGTACCTACTCTTCTCCAGCAGATAATCCAGGGCATGTTTGAGAAGCCAGGCCTAGAGAATTCAAAAGGAAAGGGTAGATATAAGAGGGTAATTAGATGTACAACCTGAAAAAGTTGCTACTTCAACCAGGTGTGATGAGCATGGGGCCTGTGTAAACACAAGCAGGCCATCAGCTGCAGGAGGTAGGAAGTGACCCATGCTGCTCTTTGCTGTGTGGAAAGTGGGAAGGAAGGCCAGCAGGTAAGCATCTGTGGGTGGGCATGATACATGCAAAAAGAACAGGAGGTGAAACCTAAGGACAAGAAACTCCAACAACCACACAGTAGAAGGAGGGCGTGGTGCTCTTCAGAGGATGATGGAAGTTCCACATCTGAGGCTTCTATAAACCCTGAGTGGACCATGGATTCAGTTCTTCCACACCTGGCATACAGACTTTCAGCAAAATGGTCACCTATGTCATGCTGTACCAGTTTCCAGCTGAGGAGGCTTATATACTATAACTGTCACCCTTGAGGAGCTTAAGTTATCTGAAAACTTAAAACATACATTGCTATACAATTTAACATTTATATTGAGTGTATAAATTGATCAACTGTTAAACCTTCAAAATTCTGTTTTTAACAGGTTGGTAGAAAATTTTTACACTCAATAAAAATAGTACTCTGCTTTTCATAGATAGTACATTCACAAGGAAGTATAACAGTATCTTACCATCCTCCAAGAATTGGATATCGGACGTATCAAGATTATGACCTGTTTCCAATAACTTGTTCCCTAAATGAAATAAATATACTTAATTCAAATAGCATAGCATTGTTTCGTCCCCTATAATCACTTACAAGGGTAAGACCCAAGAAAACAAATTTGAATGTTTCTGTTTCTGGGAATATTAATACATTTATTAATTGTACAATAGCATAGAATGCAAGGCATGTATTCACACTAAGACAGAAAACATGAAAAGCGTAGGCTCCCCAGGACTGGAAAATTATGGGCATGATTCAATCACTCTGAAGGCTTTAGTCCTCAATATTCTTGTCTAAGAATTTAGATTATAAGTCTAGACTCACCAAACACAAAACAGAACTGTAGTAGGTATGAACTATGCAGCAGCTATGAACTATGTGTGAAGAGTGTAAGTATGGTTGCCATGGAAATTTATCCCAGTCATCCCTGCTGTGTAGATGGCGTGGGCTGTGGGGTAGAAGGACTGACCAGGGCAGGGAGCACCATACACACCACTTAGTTTATTTTTCCCTGCTTGTTCCTCTTCTTTCATTTGTTTCTTTTTAATTTCCTGGAGTTCTGCGTCAAACTTGGTCTTCCAACTCAAGAAATTCTCAATCGTTAACAGGGGTGCCATGGAACAGTTTCTTAGAAAATGAAAGACACGGGTGTCATGTCAATGAGATAGTGATTTAACAAATAAAGCCAAATGATTGTCTTCTAGATACCCACAGCCACACAGTGAAGCATGGACAGACACTACTGATGTCTGCCTGGTTTAGCTCTCTATTTAATTTTAGTGTCTTACTCTGGAAAAGACAAATTTTAAAAATAGTCTTCTTGCAAAACTTAAAACAATAAAGATAATGTGCAATGTACTCATTGCCCTCTCTCTAGCTATTTACTATTAAGAAAGTTCTTGGTTTAGTATGCTTTTAATCCACATCAATTTAAAACACTGCCACCACTTTTTCACTTTAGAGTCTGGAGTTTGCCCTGTTTATATCACTGTGAAAGGATTTGTTGGGAAGCACTTACATTTCCTGATCTCACACAAGCGTGATTTATCAATCTGTCATCCGTTAATCACCTGTCATCTGTTCTCAATCAAAATTTCACTCCTAGGAAAATTTGCCTTTTAGTCTCTCTTTTGTGATTTCCGAAAGCAAGTGACTAACATTATCAGGAAAAAAAGATCAAAGCTACTGAGGGGTAAAGATGGCTGAGAGGTTAAGAGCACTGTCTGCTCTCCCAGTAGTCTTGAGGTCAATTCCCAGCAACCACATGGTGGTTCACAATCATCTGTAGTGGGATCAGATACCCTCTTCTGGTGTGTCTGAAGAGAGTGACAGTATATTCACATTATATATATATATATATATATATATATATATATATATATATATATATGTATTAAAAGAAACAAAGTTAGATATCAACTGAGCTATAGAGAGATGTGCAGAATATGAAAAACAAGCCTTTGAGGTATACTTTCTGTGATGCTTCCTTTTCTTTCTCTTTTCTTCCTCTCTTCTCATTTTTATCTGATCAACTATTTCACTTACCTTCTCTTGATCAGCTGTCATGAGTGTGAAGGTCTGGGATGGTTGTAAGCAAAGTTAGTTAAAGTGTCTCATTCACACCCTGAATTCCATTCCCATCAAAAAGCTTACCTGGATACTGGGGCTTACCCTCAGTTTGAGCCTATCTTTACTCCCTCTGTAAGTGATACACCCCATCTATTATCACAAAGGACCCCAGTGCCCTTGGCTTCTCTATTTCTCATTTTTGTGTGGCCTAAACTTAATCAATGCCACTGGTATTGCACCATCCCCCCAATCCTTAGATCTCTGGACAGAGGGATGGATAGGGCACACTTCTGGATCTATGAGGCTACTCTGGAGGTTGGCTATCCTGGCTTCTGCACTTATGGATGTTACTTGTGAGGTGAAATGTATATGTTTGTGTGGGTGTCATGTGAGAGAGCCTGTTCTCATCCTGCCCCTGCAGTTACACCACCAGTATAAAGCACTTCATTTACCTGTCAGTCAAAGCATGATTCTCTCTAGCTCTCCCACTCCAGTCTGGAACAGCTCTTGCCCTGCAAGCTCCTGAACTTTGTGCCATTTGGGGCCACTTGAGCACTTTCCCTGTGCAAACATGGCTGCTGATACCTCAATACATAACCTCCTAAACATTTCTGCCTTATCCAGAAGAGTCTGGGGCCAGGTTGCTGAGGAGGAGTATGTATATAGTAGTACAACGTTACCTTCGTGTGTGTGTAGCTGGTGTGCAAGTCATGGGTATGGAATGGCTTCTGAAAAAGAGAGTATATTGGACTAAAATGAGAACGTATGCTTGAAGCTGTGTGACCTTAGACTCATTTCCTCTCTTTTCAGAGCATCAGCTGATGTGGTCTGTACTAAGTGAGCTCTGATGTTCTTTTAGCCTTGAGTTCCAGTGAGTGTGGTTGATTTCCAACCTACAGAGTTTTACGCGTGTGTTTAGAAGTGCCTTTGTCCTCTCCCAGCTATTTCCCCTCCCACAGATCCAAGGTACCTTGAGCAGAAGGCTGGCTACAGCAGCAGCCCTAAAAGCCAGAGATTGTTCCCCAACTATAGTCTGAGGTTCCACACAACATCAACCACTGGTATCCAGTCTGGGAAGAGACACATGGATCACACTTACACTAGTGCTATAACCAAAGCCCACTTGTGTATATCTGTAGATAAACACCATAAAGTATATACCTACACAGAGATAGAGTAAAAAAGGTATGGCCCCAGGCAATTCTTACCCTTGCAAATATTGTCTGCAATGCTCATGGTCCCCTGAAAATTGCAAAGTTCCTTGTTGTAGGACCTAGCTTGCTGCCACTTTCCAGGTCCACACAGAGGAAAGAGAGGGTGTGTTGCATGACAGAGGAGGGTGCTGTTCACCCCATTTGTGGTTTCTTTATTGTGCATTACTGAAACTATGCTTCTTCTGGGTTTTTAATTCTTTCCATCTATTGCGTTTAGACAACTCATTAACAATCATTCCTTACAATTAGACTTCAGTTTTAGGCTCCTTTCTCCAGGGAAGCAATACAAAGCTTTTCCACATCTTTGCATCATAAACAGGTTCTGGGACTCTGGTTGCTACCCCTGTCCTCTCTACTTTGGCCACTGTCCTTCTTTTACTTCCTTTCCTTTCTTCCTTTCATTTCCTCTACCCAGCCCCTGCTACAAATGTACATGGAAAAAAGAGAGCTGATATGTGCACAGAAGACCACAAAACCTCTTGCTCCCAACATCCTACTGGCCTGGCCTGGACTGGCCCTAGCTGGATGACTCTAGTGGAAGGATTAGTCATCTTAGACTAGAGATAGTCATCCCACAGACCAGGAGGGTAGAGCACCATGCTGTTGGGTCTCCTAGCTCCCGCAAAGCTCTCTGGTTGAAGGCTCTGAGTGCTCCCAGATAGACTCATACATACATGACTATGCTTGTTCACATACATACATACATGGGTGCTGTGTAGTCTGTCTACCTGACACTTGCAGCCACTTGCATGACAGCAGAGCCTCTTGTTGTAGCAGCCTGCGCTCATTGACCAACCAGATTCTCCTGAAAGGGAGGCTGGAAATGAAGAAAGGGATAGAGAGTGAGAGAAAGATGAAGCCAAGGCAAAGTTCTCTGATCAAAGCTTGAAGTTTAATGTCCACCTCTTAAATTTAAAGGGAAATCACCACCAAACCCCTTCTTGTTTCAGTCAGAGACAGGTGAGGGAACTCATCCTCAGTCACAGCCAGAAGCTCAGTGGGCAGTTTATTCTTCCATGTTCCTGTGGCAGGTTGCACATGCAGACAAGGTGAGTAACTCCACCTATGTCCTATTATTTGGTCTATTGTGGTAAACAAAGTCTTTAAGGCCTTCTCAAGGCTGGGGAGAGGGCATAATTCCCCCTTTTTAGATTTTGAAAGATGAGCAGTGCCAGCAGCTGTGCAAGGCACAAGATTTCATCCTGATTTCATTCCGTCTAGGGCAAAGAGTAGTCTGGTGACTGTGCCTGGCTTAGGTTGGCATCTATATTGTTCCTTATTACTCATCATGAACAACATATATAGCATTATTGATGTATGCCTCTGTCTTATGTCTATAGGACCTCAGGCACACTCTTACCCATCTTTGACTACTGTGACCAAGCCCACTCAGTCGGTCAACAGGTTCTGCAGTACAGGGGTGAAGATTAAAAGAAAAGAGGTGATTAGACAAATCGCAGCATAACCACAGCCAGTTTTGAGGCTGAAGGCTGAGGCAGGTTTGTTTATTCCCACTTTTCTTTTAAACCCTTTTAATTACATGCAAGTATTTATGTCCATTCTAGGTTGAGGAAGCAACAATACAATAGATACAAACAGCCAAGGAACAAACAAGGCACTATACAAAGTCCCGTGATTACTCCCATGATCACTCCCATGATCACTCTCATGATTACTATTTCTAAGGACTTATCAGGATGACAAAAATATCTGAGCCTACTTCCCTGTCCTGGCCCACAGTCACATTCCTGCCTAAGGCCTACTTCTTTGTTCTAGCCTAAGACTTGGTTTCCTGGATGAACTTACTTCTCTGTTTTAGCCTTACAATTAGATTCCTGACTGAACTTACTTCTCTGTCTTAGCCTAAAATTAGATTCCTACCTTTACTTACTTCCTTGTCATGGCCCAATGTCAGATTCCTGCCTAAAGCCCATTTCCTTGTCCTTGGTCAATGTTGGATTCCTGCCAAGTAGCCCCAAAAGCTTTCCACACTACTGGCCACCATTGGCACACTCTTTCCCAGACAGACCAAAGCCACATTCAGACCAAAGGACCTGTGAGCATGCACTAAATGCAATTCTTCATAGCTATGGATAATGCCATGGTGGATAGCTGAGCTTACTGAGATCGATCCTTTGTGAAGGCAACCAATCTGTTTGAGATACAAGACTCAAAGGTTAAAGGCAACAAGATTATCCAAGCAGTGTACAGAATAAAGTTGTAAGTGGGAATGTTCCAGTATCTAATCCCGCTGCTGATTGACAGGGATCAGACACAAAGTCCGGCCACCAGGTATATAGTGGGTTGCTTTAAGTAATGATAAAATCACTTACTCTCCAGTAAGTGTGGAGACTATGTACCAGGTTAACTCATCTGGCTGAAAAGGATTTTGAGCCATCTTCATCTTTAGAATCATAATCATTAGGCTCAAGATCTATGTCCACTTGGTAGAACAATCTTTCAGGCAGCCATCAGGCTCCATTTTCTTTTGTGAAAAAGCATACAGAACCATGATCCCAAATTAAACCAGGGTTGGGACCATTCCGTGTATTAGTTAGGGGGGTCTCTCTATTTGACCCAGGCAAATGAGCTGGAAGTGACTCGATGCCAGTGGTGATCTGCTGCAGACTGGCCTTTATCATCAGTCTGCAAACAATTTAAAACAAATAAGACAAATGCAAGGTGTGCTTTTGCTGACATTGGAGGGTATAATTTCCCACTCTTATTAGTTATTAAAAATCAGTTTTTCAGAGTTCCTTGCAAAACCAGGACAGAAGCACCAGTAGCTGCTCCTCCCACACTCAGAGAGTTGTGAAAATATTATTTTAAAATTTCGCAATATGTGTTTAACAATTCCTTGTCTTTGAGGATAATAAGGAATCTCAGTAATATGAGTAATATTAAATTGTCAACAAAACATCTCAAATATTTGACTGAAATAGGCAGTTCCATTGTGTATAATCTGATATGGTACACCAAGCATAGAAAAATAATTTAGGCAATAACAAACTGCATTTCTAGTTGCTTCTCTTGTTAAAGCAGTTGCAACTAGAAAGCCTGAAAGGTGTCAAGTCACATGTATATATTTTAATTTTCCAAAATAAAAAATGAGTAACATCCATTTGCAATAAATGATTACATATAAGTCTCCAAGGCTTAACACCATTATGAAAAAATTGAGGATACTGAGAACACGTTTTTGCAATGTGACTTGCACACTTTCTAGTAATACCAAATTATTGTCAAAAGCTATTACTATTTTGATGATGTAAAGAATAAGATTGTATGGCCAATTGTTTCTGTAAGGTCAGTAATCTGCCCGGTATACAAATCTGCTGTGGAATTGCCCTGGGATCCAGGAAATCCAATATGTGCTCTTAAATGTCTGATAAAGTTAAGGAACAGTACATGCTTCCTAAATTAAGCTGTATTTGTAAAACTTGAGAATTAGCAAAATCCAAAAAGAGAACAACTTTAAGGAATTATAAATCATGAGCTCTACACTGGCTATGAGTATACAAACTGAAAGCTTGAAGTTTTTAGCATTTCAAACAGTGGCTACAGCATGTAATTCAATTATTTGTGCTAAAGTAGGGGAAAACTCAAGAAAATAAGCATGTGATCTAATTAAATATACTGCTTTCTCAATAAATGAGCTTTCTGTAAATACTATAAACATATTTTCTATGGGCTGCATGATAATTTTACAGGAAATACAAAAGCATGCATAGAGGAAAACTGTAACAATTTGTCTTTTGGATAATGATTGTCAAATTTGCCAAAAACTTTTGCCATGTAATAGGCCAAGTATTAGTATTCTCCAATAACCAATTTCATTGCTGTTTGTAATAAGGAATAAACATTTAATCCACAATACTTTCAGGATTCTATCCTACAATTCTGTATTAACACAGCAACAGTTTCATATTAGGATGTTCAAACGTTACTTGCAGATGAAGAAGGATGAATGCACATTAATGGTTGCTTTTGCCAAAGGGCTGCTGTGAGCACATGTGTAGCAAAACCATAAACAGCCAACAATTGATCATAGTCTATATAATGTATCTGTTGATAACTAACAGCTTACTCTACTTTGTACAAAGCTATTCCTCCTTTATCAGTAGAGGGGAATGAAGATTTGCATCTCCCTTGAGAATATCAAACAGAGGTTCAAGTTCTCCTATGGTAAGCTTAAGATGATGTTTTAGCTAATTAATATCTCCTAACAGGTTTTGAAAATCATTAAAAGTAAACCATTTTTTTTGCATGTACAGCTGCAAGCCATAAAAGAGCACTAGATCCCATTACAGATGGTTGTGAGCCACTATGTGGTTACTAGGAATTGAACTCTTTTTTTTTTTTGAAACCAGAATATTTATTTTATGACTGATTGAAATCCTCAAGATGAACTGGATGCTGCAACAGCTACCCTCTTGCATTTAGGTGTCATTCCACCATGGAATCCGTGTCTGAATCTGCAATAGATAATCTTTAGATGCCTCATCCGATCAGTCCCGGTAGTGTTTTGTCTCTTAGCCTTGGCACTCCAGTTATACTTTCTCTTGCACTTGTCAGGGTAGCCGCATTTGCCACAAGTTGACTTCTGAAGGTGGTAGGCCTTGGAGCCACAGGGACAGCACAGCATGTGCGTCTTATTGTGACACTTTCTGAAGGATGGCATTCCTTTCTTCATCTTGCTTTTACCAGCGAGGCAAAAGAGGGGAATTGAACTGTTATTTTTTTGTTTGTGAGCCTAGCCTTTAATGGTGAGCCATCTCTCTAGCCACAGCTATCCATTCTTATTGAAATTTCCTGTGTCACAATCTGTTTAGGATATAACTAAGGTCCCAAATATTGAAAAGCTATTGCCTTTGACTCTTTTCTGGAGCAAGAAGCACCCTTCAGATTTTAAAAGTTCATTGTATGAGGACAAGACATTGCAGAAAAACTCCTTCAGAGAGTTCAGCTAATAAAATATCATACAATGAATAATAAGCCTGAAAGATTCAAACTCTTAACTTTTTGTACCGAAGCAGCATCAAAATTTCTTACATAATATAAGGCTATTAGCCATTCCTGTGGCAAAGCTTTCTAATGATATCACTTCATGGGCTCTCAAAAATTACAAGAAAATTCACTGAATGCAAACCTCTCACATTTACCAGGATGAAAAGTAATGATATAAAAAAATCTTCTAAATCTATAATAATTCTATATGCATTTACTGAAATGGCAGCTGAAGTAGGCAGGTCAGGCTGTAATGTCTCATTAGTTTCATAAATCTTAAGTTTGAACTTTGTTTTGGATTAATTGTCTAACCAATCCCTTGTAGCTGAGTGAGAGTATCAGATAAAGGCCAAGTAGAAGGGCAGTCTTGTCTTCTCTTACTCTTTGAGCAATTCTTTTATTAGCAGGCACAGCTATAATGCCATGGAGGGAAATAGACATAATTTTACTTTCTCCAACATAATCATTATCTATAACTCATGGCCGATAAACTGTTGGGAATGTCTTTGGGTCTGAGACTGACTCCTCCC